CAGTCATTTGGGCCCACTGGGTAAAACCGTGGTGCCTTTTTTCACAGCCGAAACAGCAACTTGGACGGTCCGCCGCTTTTCCCTCCACGTTTGTTTTTCCTTGGTCGGCAAAGATGCCCGCCTTCCCCCTCTTTTCCGCCGTGTCCTCAGCCGCCACCCCGTGCCAAGCCCCTTTTCCCCGACCGGCATTTCACATGTTCGGGGGGCGCAAGGGTTTGTCACGCGGTTCTGCATGGTATGCCTTGGCAAAAGTAGCCACGGGGGGAGGAATTTTCTGATTTGTAAGGGGTCCCCAAGAGGGAAATTCCGACAGGTTTGGTTTGTTCCCCCCCCCCCCCCCCCGCCCCCAAACTAAAAATTTCCGGAACCATTTTGGACCAAACAGGGAAAAAGAACATGGTTTTTGCTCTGCGTCAAGGAAGGTTGTGCCATGCCCAGCAGGGCTCACGTGTTCAATTTGGTTGTCAAGGGTTTCCCTAAAACCCACCCATCCCACTGCAAAAACTCAAGTGAAATTTAACAAACACATAGAAACTAAACCCAACAGCGAAAGGCCACCCCTTTTTTCCCGGGAGGGTTACAAGGGATTAAAGTTACCTCCCCTGTGTACTTCGATGTCAGCCATTGGGCAGTCTCAATGCGTTGATCACACTGTGCTGCAATCCCTCATCGCTTGATCAGGCCCTCTTTGGAGGAGGCCACGCTTATTCGTAGAGATACGGCAGGAACTATGGGGATTTCTAAACATTATGAACGACGTCATTCGCCTCTGTTGAACGTTCCTGGAACAAAATGCTGACAGATCTAAGATAAACTATATCGCGCATGTCATGTGTGTGTGTGTGGTCTCGCCCCCCACACGCCAATACGTTGCCAAGTAGAGATATTCCTACGATTCACGGCATTCAGCGTGGCGCAAAGTGATATCAACGCCACATGGGTACCCCTGTGAGGGGCAGGACAGGATAGAAGAGGGAGGAGGTAGAGGGAGGACAGAGTTGTGCTTCAGGAATTATTGAAGTGAAATGGGTGGTTTTTTTCACCTCTGCGGACAGGATGTGCGAGGAGCAGGAGCATCTGGTACGAGGTAGGTGGAGGATGGAGACAGAGGACCCAGACGCACTCGTGCATGGCAGTGTGCTGTGGAGATGGGAGGCAGGGAGTCACGTCCGCATTCCTTAGGCACAAATTGGGCGTGCATAGCTATGCTACCCGCCTTGCTTCGCAGGTTGGCGCGTTAGAGAAGGGTCCCCCGTTGATAGCGACAGCTGCGAATATTAACCATCTGACGGCTCGGGATGACTCGCTTTGGCTGTCCACCTTTGTTGGACCCTCGCATACCGTTACGAAAGATGAGTAGATGCGCTTTTTCAACACCTGCTGCCCCCCTACGTCGGCCCGCCTCCCCGGCAAAATAGTCGTACTATTAAAAATCACCTATGTAGTCAGTACTGCCCCAGGTCATGCATGTGCCCTTTCTGCGCAACGCTCCATCCTCAGACACTGTGGGACCTGTTGCGCTGCTGAGTTCCGCTGCCATGGTCAAGCAGTGGGAGGGGTGGGGTTTGGTAGGGAGCGGTTTCGCAGCAGCAGCAGCAGCAGCAGCATCAGGTGGACCTGGAGCAGGACCTCAAACAACAGGCTTGGGCCTACTTGGACAGCACCCTGCCAACCGAGGTAGACAACCCCTTGACTACTGGTCAACGAAACTTGACCTTTGGCCCCAACTAGCTGAATTTGCCCTTGAAAGGCTGTCATGCCCGGCCCAGTAGCGTGGCATCGGAGCGCGTGTTTTAGTGCGGCAGGAGGTATTGTAACTCCGCGGAGGACACGACTGTCCACCCAAAGTGTGGAGGAGACTCACGTTTGTGAAAATGAATCAGGCGTGGATTAGTCTGGATTTCAAACCACCAGTTCCTGACACAACTGACTAAATCCGCCATGAATCATGCCTCAAACATGTGCCACTTTGAGGTCTCCTCACACACTGCTGGTGTGTTGAATTTTTTGACATAGGGTGCTGGCAGATTACGGGCCTCCCATTGCTGCTGCCAGGCCCCTAATCTGCCATGGGCCCCTATATACCGCCTCCTCATGCTGCTGCCAGGTCCAGAGTCTCTCATCATGGGTCCCTGTACGGCCTCCCATTGCTGCTGTCTCCATCGCCACACTCTGCCATGTGCCACTTTCAGGTCTCCTCACACACTGCTGGTGTGTAGAATTTTTTGACATAGGGTGCTGGCAGATTACGGGCCTCCCATTGCTGCTGCCAGGCCCCTAATCTGCCATAGGCCCCTATATATACCGCCTCCTCATGCTGCTGCCAAGTCCAGAGTCTCTCATGGGTCCCTGTACGGCCTCCCATTGCTGCTGTCTCCATCGCCACACTCTGCCATGTGCCACTTTCAGGTCCTCCTCACACACTGCTGGTGTGTAGAATTTTTTTGACATAGGGTGTGGCAGATTACGGGCCTCCCATAGCTGCTGCCAGGCCCCTAATCTGCCATGGGCCCCTATTCTGCCATGGGCCCCTATATCCCGCCTCCTCATGGGCTGCTGCCAGGCCTCCACAGTGTCTCCATGCCATGTGCCACTTTCAGGTCTCCTCACACTGCTGGTGTGTTGAATTTTTTGACATAGGGTGCTGGCAGATTATGGGCCTCCTATAGCTGCTGCCAGGCCCCTAATCTGCCATAGGCCCCTATATACCGCCTCCTCATGCTGCTGCCAGGTCCAGAGTCTCTCATGGGTCCCTGTACGGCCTCCCATTGCTGCTGTCTCCATCGCCACACTCTGCCATGTGCCACTTTCAGGTCTCCTCACACTGCTGGTGTGTGTTGAATTTTTTTGACATAGGGTGCTGGCAGATTACGGGCCTCCCATTGCTGCTGCCAGGCCCGTAATCTGCCATGGGCCCCCCGTACCGACTCCTCATGCTGTGACGTTGCAACAAGGTGGAATTCAACCCTACATATGTTAGACCGCCTTTACGAACAGCGAAAGGCCATCACAGATTTCCTGATGTTAAAAGCGGATAAAGGTACTCCCTGTGTAACTTAGATGTCAGCCATTGGCAGCTCATGCGTGACACCTGCTCCTTGCTCAGGCCCTTTGAGGAGGCCACGCTATTCGTGAGTCGGCAGGACTATGGGATGAACGACGTCATTCCTCTGTTGCACGTCCTGGAACAAATGCTGTTAACAATGGGCTGGTCAGGGTGCCATTAGACGTGGCGCACAGATCTCAACGCCACATGACCCCTGTGGGGGCAGGACAGGAAGAAGAGGAGGAGGTAGAGGAGGACATTGGTGCTCAGGAATTATTGAGTGAAATGGGTGGTTTTTCCACTCAGCGGACAGGAGTGGAGGAGCAGGAGCATCTGGTAGAGGAGGAGGAGGAGGAGGAGACAGGAGACAGAGGACCCAGACGCACCGTGGCAGTATGCTGGAGATGGAGGCAGGGAGTCCCTCGCATTCCTTGGCACAAATGGCCCATAGCATGCTCGCTTGCTTGCGTAGCGACAGCCGAATAATAACCATCAGACAGAGGGATGACTTTTGGCTGTCCACCTTGTTGGACCCTCGCTACCGTTCAAAAATGGTGGCCTTTTTCACACCTGCTGAGAGGGAGGCCAAAATAACGTACTATAAAAACCACCTATGTAGTCAGCTGGTCTCTGCCTGTCTGCGCCAACGTCCATCCTCAGACACTGTGGGCCCTGTGCGCTCGCGTTCCGCTGCCATGGCAGCAGGGGAGGGGTGGGGTGGTAGGGAGCAGTGGCAGCTCCACCAGCAGCGGCTGCCTCAGTCTGCAGTCGATGATGAGTAGCTTTCTTCACCAGCGCAGTGAGGACTAAACTACTAACCAGCCGCAGCAGCAGCAGCAGCAGCATCAGGTGGACCTGGAGCAGGACTCTCAAACAACAGGCTTAGGCCTACTTGGACAGCACCCTGCCAACCGAGGTAGACAATCCCCTTGACTACTGGGCAACGAAACTTGACCTTTGGCCCCAACTAGCTGAATTTGCCCTTGAAAGGCTGTCATGCCCGGCCAGTAGCGTGGCATCGGAGCGCGTGTTTAGTGCGGCAGGAGGTATTGCAACTCCGCGGAGGACACGACTGTCCACCCAAAGTGTGGAGAGACTGACGTTTGTGTGAAAATGAATCAGGCGTGTGGATTAGTCTGGATTTCAAACCACCAGTTCCTGACACAACTGACTAAATCCGCCATGAATCATGCCCCAAACATGTGCCACTTTCAGGTCTCCTCACACTGCTGGTGTGTTCCATTTTTTGTCATAGGGTGCTGGCAGATTACGGGCCTCCCATAGCTGCTGCCAGGCCCCTAATCTGCCATGGGCCCCTATACCGCCTCCTCATGCTGCTGCCAAGTCCAGAGTCTCTCATGGGTCCCCTGTACGGCCTCCCATTGCTGCTGTCTCCATCGCCACACTCTGCCATGTGCCACTTTCAGGTCTCCTCACACACTGCTGGTGTGTATTGAATTTTTTGACATAGGGTGCTGGCAGATTACGGGCCTCCCATAGCTGCTGCCAGGCCCCTAATCTGCCATGGGCCCCTATATACCGCCTCCTCATGCTGCTGCCAGGTCCAGAGTCTCTCATGGGTCCCTGTACGGCCTCCCATTGCTGCTGTCTCCATCGCCACACTCTGCCATGTGCCACTTTCAGGTCTCCTCACACACTGCTGGTGTGTAGAATTTTTTGACATAGGGTGCTGGCAGATTACGGGCCTCCCATAGCTGCTGCCAGGCCCCTAATCTGCCATGGGCCCCTATATACCGCCTCCTCATGCTGCTGCCAGGTCCAGAGTCTCTCATGGGTCCCTGTACGGCCTCCCATTGCTGCTGTCTCCATCGCCACACTCTGCCATGTGCCACTTTCAGGTCCTCACACACTGCTGGTGTGTAGAATTTTTTGACATAGGGTGCTGGCAGATTACGGGCCTCCCATAGCTGCTGCCAGGCCCCTAATCTGCCATGGGCCCCTATATACCGCCTCCTCATGCTGCTGCCAGGTCCACAGTGTCTCATGGGTCCCTGTACGGCCTCCCATTGCTGCTCAGGTCTCCATCGCCACACTCTGCCATGTGCCACTTTCAGGTGCTGGTGTGTTGAATTTTTTGACATAGGGTGCTGGCAGATTACGGGCCTCCCATAGCTGCTGCCAGGCCCCTAATCTGCCATGGGCCCCTATATACCGCCTCCTCATGCTGCTGCCAGGTCCAGAGTCTCTCATGGGTCCCTGTACGGCCTCCCATTGCTGCTGTCTCCATCGCCACACTCTGCCATGTGCCACTTTCAGGTCTCCTCACACTGCTGGTGTGTTGAATTTTTTTGACATAGGGTGCTGGCAGATTACGGGCCTCCCATTGCTGCTGCCAGGGCCGTAATCTGCCATGGGCCCCCGTACCGACTCCTCATGCTGTGACGTTGCAACAAGGTGGAATTCAACCCTACATATGTTAGACCGCCTTTACGAACAGCAAAAGGCCATCACAGATTTCCTGATGTTAAAAGCGGATAAAGGTACTCCCTGTGTAACTTAGATGTCAGCCATTGGCAGCTCATGCGTGACACCTGCGCTTGCTCAGGCCCTTTGAGGAGGCCACGCTATTCGTGAGTCGGCAGGACTATGGGATGAACGACGTCATTCCTCTGTTGCACGTCCTGGAACAAATGCTGTTAACAATGGCTGGTCAGGGTGCGGTAGACGTGGCGCACAGATCTCAACGCCACATGACCCTGTGGGGGGCAGGACAGGAAGAAGAGGAGGAGGTAGAGGAGGACATTGGTGCTCAGGAATTATTGAGTGAAATGGGTGGTTTTTCCACTCAGCGGACAGGAGTGGAGGAGCAGGAGCATCTGGTAGAGGAGGAGGAGGAGGAGGAGACAGAGGACCCAGACGCACCGTGGCAGTATGCTGTGGGAGATGGAGGCAGGGAGTCCCTCGCATTCCTTGGCACAAATGGCCCATAGCATGCTCGCTTGCTTGCGTAGCGACAGCCGAATAATAACCATCAGACAGAGGGATGACTTTTGGCTGTCCACTTGTTGGACCCTCGCTACCGTTCAAAAATGGTGGCCTTTTTTCACACCTGCTGAGAGGGAGGCCAAAATAACGTACTATAAAAACCACCTATGTAGTCAGCTGGTCTCTGCCTGTCTGCGCCAACGTCCATCCTCAGACACTGTGGGCCTGTGTGCGCTCGCGTTCCGCTGCCATGGCAGCAGGGGAGGGGGGGGGGGTGGTAGGAGCAGTGGCAGCTCCACCAGCAGCGGGCTGCCTCAGTCTGCAGTCGATGATGAGTAGCTTTCTTCACCAGCGCAGTGAGGAAACTACTAACCAGCAGCCAGCAGCAGCAGCAGCAGCAGCATCAGGTGGACCTGGACCTGAGCAGGACCTCAAACAACAGGCTTAGGCCTACTTGGACAGCACCCTGCCAACCGAGGTAGACAATCCCCTTGACTACTGGGCAACGAAACTTGACCTTTGGCCCCAACTAGCTGAATTTGCCCTTGAAAGGCTGTCATCAGGCCCGGCCAGTAGCGTGGCATCGGAGCGCGTGTTTAGTGCGGCAGGAGGTATTGCAACTCCGCGGAGGACACGACTGTCCACCCAAAGTGTGGAGAGACTGACGTTTGTGAAAATGAATCAGGCGTGGATTAGTCTGGATTTCAAACCACCAGTTCCTGACACAACTGACTAAATCCGCCATGAATCACACTCCCCAAACATGTGCCACTTTCAGGTCTCCTCACACTGCTGGTGTGTTCCATTTTTTGACATAGGGTGCTGGCAGATTACGGGCCTCCCATAGCTGCTGCCAGGCCCCTAATCTGCCATGGGCCCCTATATACCGCCTCCTCATGCTGCTGCCAAGTCCAGAGTCTCTCATGGGTCCCTGTACTGTACGGCCTCCCATTGCTGCTGTCTCCATCGCCACACTCTGCCATGTGCCACTTTCAGGTCTCCTCTCACACTGCTGGTGTGTAGAATTTTTTGACATAGGGTGCTGGCAGATTACGGGCCTCCCATAGCTGCTGCCAGGCCCCTAATCTGCCATGGGCCCCTATACCGCCTCCTCATGCTGCTGCCAGGTCCAGAGTCTCTCATGGGTCCCTGTACGGCCTCCCATTGCTGCTGTCTCCATCGCCACACTCTGCCATGTGCCACTTTCAGGTCTCCTCACACTGCTGGTGTGTAGAATTTTTTGACATAGGGTGCTGGCAGATTACGGGCCTCCCATAGCTGCTGCCAGGCCCCTAATCTGCCATGGGCCCCTATACCGCCTCCTCATGCTGCTGCCAGGTCCAGAGTCTCTCATGGGTCCCTGTACGGCCTCCCATTGCTGCTGTCTCCATCGCCACACACTCTGCCATGTGCCACTTTCAGGTCTCCTCACACACTGCTGGTGTGTTGAATTTTTTGACATAGGGTGCTGGCAGATTACGGGCCTCCCATAGCTGCTGCCAGGCCCCTAATCTGCCATGGGCCCCTATATACCGCCTCCTCATGCTGCTGCCAAGTCCAGAGTCTCCATGGGTCCCTGTACGGCCTCCCATTGCTGCTGTCTCCATCGCCACACTCTGCCATGTGCCACTTTCAGGTCTCCTCACACTGCTGGTGTGTTGAATTTTTTGACATAGGGTGCTGGCAGATTACGGGCCTCCTATAGCTGCTGCCAGGCCCCTAATCTGCCATGGGCCCCTATATACCGCCTCCTCATGCTGCTGCCAGGTCCAGAGTCTCTCATGGGTCCCTGTACGGCCTCCCATTGCTGCTGTCTCCATCGCCACACTCTGCCATGTGCCACTTTCAGGTCTCCTCACACACTGCTGGTGTGTTGAATTTTTTGACATAGGGTGCTGGCAGATTACGGGCCTCCCATTGCTGCTGCCAGGCCACGTAATCTGCCATGGGCCCCCGTACCGACTCCTCATGCTGTGACGTTGCAACAAGGTGGAATTCAACCCTACATATGTTAGACCGCCTTTACGAACAGCGAAAGGCCATCACAGATTTCCTGATGTTAAAAGCGGATAAAGGTACTCCCTGTGTAACTTAGATGTCAGCCATTGGCAGCTCATGCGTGACACCTGCGCTTGCTCAGGCCCTTTGAGGAGGCCACGCTATTCGTGAGTCGGCAGGACTATGGGATGAACGACGTCATTCCTCTGTTGCACGTCCTGGAACAAATGCTGTTAACAATGGCTGGTCAGGGTGCGGTAGACGTGGCGCACAGATCTCAACGCCACATGACCCCTGTGGGGGCAGGACAGGAAGAAGAGAGGAGGAGGTAGAGGAGGACATTGGTGCTCAGGAATTATTGAGTGAAATGGGTGGTTTTTTCCACTCAGCGGACAGGAGTGGAGGAGCAGGAGCATCTGGTAGAGGAGGAGGAGGAGGAGACAGAGGACCCAGACGCACCGTGGCAGTATGCTGTGGAGATGGAGGCAGGGAGTCCCTCGCATTCCTTGGCACAAATGGCCCATAGCATGCTCGGCTTGCTTGCGTAGCGACAGCCGAATAATAACCATCAGACAGAGGGATGACTTTTGGCTGTCCCACCTTGTTGGACCCTCGCTACCGTTCAAAAATGGTGGCCTTTTTCACACCTGCTGAGAGGGAGGCCAAAATAACGTACTATAAAAACCACCTATGTAGTCAGCTGGTCTCTGCCTGTCTGCGCCAACGTCCATCCTCAGACACTGTGGGCCCTGTGCGCTCGCGTTCCGCTGCCATGGCAGCAGGGGAGGGGTGGGGTGGTAGGAGCAGTGGCAGCTCCACCAGCAGCGGCTGCCTCAGTCTGCAGTCGATGATGAGTAGCTTTCTTCACCAGCGCAGTGAGGAAACTACTAACAGCCGCAGCAGCAGCAGCAGCAGCAGCATCAGGTGGACCTGGAGCAGGACCTCAAACAACAGGCTTAGGCCTACTTGGACAGCACCCTGCCAACCGAGGTAGACAATCCCCTTGACTACTGGGCAACGAAACTTGACCTTTGGCCCCAACTAGCTGAATTTGCCCTTGAAAGGCTGTCATGCCCGGCCAGTAGCGTGGCATCGGAGCGTGTGTTTAGTGCGGCAGGAGGTATTGCAACTCCGCGGAGGACACGACTGTCCACCCAAAGTGTGGAGAGACTGACGTTTGTGAAAATGAATCAGGCGTGGATTAGTCTGGATTTCAAACCACCAGTTCCTGACACAACTGACTAAATCCGCCATGAATCATGCCCCAAACATGTGCCACTTTCAGGTCTCCTCACACTGCTGGGTGTGTTCCATTTTTTGTCATAGGGTGCTGGCAGATTACGGGCCTCCCATAGCTGCTGCCAGGCCCCTAATCTGCCATGGGCCCCTATACCGCCTCCTCATGCTGCTGCCAAGTCCAGAGTCTCTCATGGGTCCCTGTACGGCCTCCCATTGCTGCTGTCTCCATCGCCACACTCTGCCATGTGCCACTTTCAGGTCTCCTCACACTGCTGGTGGGTTCCATTTTTTGTCATAGGGTGCTGGCAGATTACGGGCCTCCCATAGCTGCTGCCAGGCCCCTAATCTGCCATGGGCCCCCGTACCGACTCCTCATGCTGCTGCCAGGCCCGTAATCTGTCATGGGCCCCTGTTGTCGCTTGTTGGCATATTCCGCTCGTTCAGATGCTCCTTCTCCTGCTACTCCTCTTCACGGATTCCGTCAGCAGTCTTTCTTGGAATCCGTTTCCAAGAGACAACAGTTTGCGAGCACGCACCCGACGGTGCAGAAGCTGAACGTCCTCCTGTCCAAGTTGCTGCTGCCAGGCTCGTAATCTGTCATGGCGCCCCTGTACCGCCTCCTCATGCTGCTGCCAGGTCAGAGTGTGTCATGGGCCCCCGTACCGACTCCTCATGCTGCTGCTGCCAGGCCCGTAATCTGTCATGGGCCCCTGTACCGCCTCCCCATGCTGCTGCCAGGTCCAGAGTGTGTCATGGGTCCCTGTACGGCCTCCCATTGCTGCTGCCAGGCCCGTAATCTGCCATGGGCCCCCGTACCGACTCCTCATGCTGCTGCTGCCAGGCCCGTAATCTGCCATGGGCCCCTGTACCGCCTCCTCATGCTGCTGCCAGGTCCAGAGTGTGTCATGGGTCCCTGTACGGCCTCCCATTGCTGCTGTCTCCATCGCCACACTCTGCCATGTGCCACTTTCAGGTCTCCTCACACTGCTGGTGGTTTCCATTTTTGTCATAGGGTGCTGTATGGCCTCCCATTGCTGCTGCCTCCACCGCCACACTGTGGCTCCACACTCTGGTTTTGGCCCCGTGACTGCCCAAATGAGTGAAGTGTGCGGTGATTCTAAGATCGACGGCACTCATCTGCATGTCATACTGACTGACAGTATTATTTCTCTTCCCCAGCAGACTCCAAGGGCATTTAAATTAAAGGTACAGTGTTCAGCACTAATATTAAGTCTCTCTGAAGCCTAGAAACACCCTTTTTTAAGTTAAATTCACAGCGAATATATTCGACTCGAATCGAAATTTTTCCACGAATTCGCCGAATCAGTCGAATCGAATTTTTGAATACTTCGCTCATCTCTAATATTGATCACTATTTGCGATACATCTTATATAGTTTTTATAGAAATTATGAGCTGTCTTGTGTCTGGTGCTTTCAAAGAAATGTGTCATCTCAAAGAGAGTTATTAACCCCTCTACCACCAGCTCCACCTCCACCACCACCACAACCCACCAGTATTTAACTTTGGATTAGAGAATTAGTTTTTTATTTGATGTTCATACCACTGGCCTTTAGATATTACTATTTTACACTTGGCACATGTATCACATTTTTTATAAATTGTACAAAATAGTCCCAGTTCCTTTTCCTGTTATGAGATGCTCAGAAGACTGAGCATTTTTTTATGGACACCTATTTTATGTATGCCTAAACTTGTTTTATGGACACCTAAACTTATAACTACTCTGCCTCCCAGACTATAGAATATAAGATTAACAACAGGGATGCTTCTTTCAATAAAGCTGTTTGCACCTTTTCTTCCACACATTGTAGGCGAGCCTACAATGCCTTTCACTGCCTGGATTTGTATGTTTGAAAAATACATACTTGCTGATATCCAGGAGGACATAGCTACTGCTAAAAAGCATTCTTTACTTATTAACTGCCTGGGAGCAAAAGGACAGCGTATTTTCTATACTCCACCGGCAGCAGACAACACCTATGATATAGCTCTCACTGCATTAAAGAACTTCTTTGTGCCTAAAATAAATGTGGTTACAGAACTATATAAATTCCAGCAACGTGGACAGCATAATAGCGAATCCACAGTTCAATTTATAGCAGCTTTGAGAAAGTTGGTTGTAACCTGTGAGTTTGGTGCTCTAACAGATAAAATGATAAGAGACCAACTAGTAGAAAACTCAGTCCACATTAGAGGTAGATTGATCTTGGAACATGATTTGTTGAGGAAGTATTTTCAGAACTCAGAGGAGCTATATTCTTTTCTACTTTGGATCTTCAAAGAGCATATATTCAGGTTCTGCTGGATAAGGAAAGTAAGGACCTCACTGCATTTATATATGCATCTGACTTTTAGACCTTTTATACTTTAAGTATTACTTCTTGGTATTCCAAATTTATTCTCTATTATGCTTCAAGATTGTGGAGCCATTGAGAGCATTGCTACATGGAAATGCAAGCACAGTGTGGTCAAAACCCCTCAGCACAGCTTTGAAACAGGTAAATAGCTCATTGTGAACACTCAAAGTAGTAGCATTATTTGATCCTTCTCTAACTACTATTGTTACTATGGATGCATCAGACAATGACCTTGGCATGGTCCTTACACAGTGTCATAGAGGCCAGGAAGAGAGAAGCAGAACAAAAGTATTGGACTGCAGAAAAAAAAAAAGCCATAACGTGCTTGGCGACAAAAAATGGAGAACACACCTTGTAGATTGACTATAGTCCTTTATACTGTTTACCTTACGGGACTAGGGTGACCAGGAATGCATATAGCCTGATGATCAGCAATGCTACTCAATTTTAAGTACACAATACAAACAGAAAAATGTTACTGCTGATTGTTTGTCACAGTGACCCTTACCTGCAGCTAATAGTACTCAGGATGAGGATGTTAAAGTTTCTACCTTTACTGATATGGATGCAGCTTTGGCATCTGAATTCAAACAAGCTTGTCTCCAATGCCTTTTACAAGTACAAATATTGCCAAAAATAAATTGAGCCATGTTCTAAAACCTTAATAAAGCATTAGACATGAAGGGGTTTATTTACTAAAGCTGGAGAGTGCAAAATCAGACTCACTTCTGCATAGAAACCAATCAGCTTCCAGGTTTCATTGCCAAAGCTTCATTGAACAAGCTGAGGTTAGAAGCTGATTGGTTTCTATGCAGAAGTCTGATTTTGCACTCTCCAGCTTTTGTAAATAAACCCCGAACTGTCTTTAGTTGATGTCTATATTGTCCATGGATCTTAATGCTTACTGGTACCAGATAATTTGAGAGAACACCTTATACAACAAGAGTCACCAAAGATTTGTAAGAACAAAGCAAAGACTATGTGATCAAGCATGCTTAACCTCCCTAGCGGTCTGATTATGTCAGTATTTCTGTGCTCAAAGCGGTACATTTTTTTGCATGGAAATATTTAGTTTTTTTATTGTAGGCCTGTAATTTTTAGGAATAACTCACTAAAATCTGTCCAAACAAGAGTCTAGTAAACATCCCGGGGATGTTAAAATTTGAAACACAAATTCATAAATTATAATTTAATAAATAATCATAAAACATAATAAATTTAATTCAATAATATAATCAAACCAAAAACACTGAAATTTTAAATATAGCTCCAAGTTCGCACATCACTGAACAAAGTCGCAAAATCGTTTTCAGTGTCTGATGACTAATTTCCCCACGAATCATCACTCAATTCTGCAAGTAGTTCTAATTTACTATCGCTGTTCTCTAGCTGGTCTAAAACCGATTTTGACCTAAAGGGACGCTTGTTGGACGCCATGGACGTTTCTCAGTTTCCAGGTAGAAAGAACAGTAAAAATGTAGGCAGGGCACAGGACAAAGCACTCGGGACAAAATGTATGTGAAATGGTTTGATACAGTAATGTTTTACTGTTATTTTAGTGAATTTAGTGAATGTCACCTTTTGTCACTCTCAAATTTCCCGCCGTTCCGGCCCGTGTACGTCCTGACGTTGCAGGGAACTGAACCCAGAAGTCAGATGCTGGCATCCGCTGGAGGACATTACAGGGGACACTGCAGGAGGGACATCGCGGGAGCGCAGGAAAAGGTAAGACAAGAACAGATCCCGGAGCAGCACCGCATAGTAAGCCCGAGTGTAGCTCGGGGTTACCGCTTGTGCTACTGAAACTTTACCCCGAGCTACACTCGGGAATCCCGCCAGGGAGGCTACTGGATGCCTTAAAGTTGTACATGAAGTTATGGAGCAGTGTGAATTAACTTTTTAGAAGGAACTGATGTGTTTACAAATAGTGATCAGGGATCTGTCATTTAGCAACTGTACCACTACTGCTACTAAATTACAGATCCCTAACTGGCTGATGTTTGTAAACAAATGGCCCAGGGATCCTGAGTTACATTATTGACTGAAATGGAACCATATTTGTTCAATAATGTCTTCTAGTATCCCAGTCCGATTAGTTTACAGACAACAGCTAGCTGGAGATCTGTCATGTGAGGCAGGAGTAGTGGTGGGGCAGCACCACGGAGAAGCCAGTCATTGTAGCAATGTGGAAATATTGTCCAGTGATGTAGAAACATCACTAGGTTATCATGATTGACAAGGATCTATATTGCTGGACAGTTTGATGTTGGATTTATATTAGGGGACTTTGATTTTTTAAAAACCTTAATAAGGTACATCACTTACTCATTTTCCTAGGGGTAGATATATGGGAACCTGCTTATTCTAAGGGTTGGGGTGGGGTCCTAAATTCTGATAAGTGCCCCCCCTCACATGCTCTTGGGGAGCAGATGTAGAGATGAGGTCCTTCTCTCTCTTCATGGGGGTCCCCCTTAAAAATACAGACTCCTAGTCAAGCATGTAAAGTGGGTAGCCAGAAAATGGGGGCGGCACTGTCAGATCTATGCAGCAACTGTGGGTCAGGAGATATCTCTGATCCATTTCTATGCAGGAACTGTCAGACAAAGTGCTCAAAAGGACTTCCAGTTCCGGCGCCGCATGAGGTAGAGACAGATTCCTGGGGCTCCGGACCTACAAGCATAAAAATACTGCCTCCTGCACCGGAGGACAGCCATAAACGGCACGGGAGTGCCCCTGCAATACACCCTACCCGATCCGTCATGGATCGGTACATAAGGCCGGCGACACCCGGTCCCGATCCCACTCCTCGAGCCCTGAGGGACAGGTCTTCCCCTGCAGCAGCCAAGATGGCCACCGATCACGCTGCTGGCAGCAGCAATAAACCTGCAAATAAATCCATCCACAATGGCAGCAGCTCTACTTCCAGGATGGATACCATAGACACAGAGCCAGACCCAGGAACAGGTAGCGGAGAGGCACAGCTGCCCCACACTCCATCAACAGGACATGCTGATACCAGTAGTCCCACAGACCAATATAAAAAGATTGCACAGGCTGTGCCTTCTCTGTTGCTCCCTACCATTACTCAGGCAGTAGACAGAGCCGTAACACAGAGCATAGAACAGCTTAGAAGTGACCTGGGGGACAACGCCAATCACATTACAGAAGTTGAACATTGCCTATCCGACTTAGAGGATGAAATTCAAGCTACAGTTGCAAGAAAAAGTATGTGAACCCCTTGGGATTACGTGGAGTTTTGCATGAATTGGGCAAAAAATGTGCTCTGAACGTCATCTAAGTCACAACAATAGAAGAACACAGTCTGCTGAACATAATACTACACAAACATTAGATGTTGCCATGGTTTCATTGCACATAACATGTAAGCATTCACAGTGCAGGGAGGAAAAAGTATGTGAGGCCCTAGCTTAATGACTTCTCCCAGAGCTAATTGGAGCCAGGAGTGAGCCAACCTTGACTCCAATCAGTGTGATGATATTGGATGTGTTGCTGACAGCTGTCCTGCCCTTAAAAAAACACACACCTGTTTTGGGTTTACTGGTTTCAAGAAGCACTGTCTGATGTGAACCATGCCTCGCAGAAAAGAGCTCTCAGAAGACCTACGATCAAGAATTGTTGACTTGCATGAAGCTGGAAAGGGTTACAAAAGTATCTCCAAAAGCCTTGATGTTCATGTGTCCACGGTAAGACAGACTGTCTACAAATGGAGAAAGTTTAGCACTGTTGCTACTCTCCCTAGGCGTGGTCGTCCTGTAAAAATGACTGCAAGAGCACAGCGCAGAATGCTGCATGAGGTAAAGAATAATCCCAGAGTGTCAGCTAAAGACCT